TATTTTTAGTAGAGATTCATAATCTAATTGATAGTGAACTATAGTTCATTATTTAAAGTGGTAAATAGTGAACTATAATTTTGGCATGATGGAATACGAAGCTATTGTTTTTAGATAATAATATTCTAATTGATTGCGAACAGTATAAGTGAACTACAATGCGTAATTTACGTTGTTAATAGTGAACTATAATTTTGTTTTTTTTAGGATTGCCAAGTGTTATTAGTAGATAATTTTTGTGGTTAATAGTGAACTACAGTGCGTGAAATTCATTGCTAGTATTGAAGTATAATTTGTGTATTCAGAGATGTAAATAGTTAACTGATTTTGTTGTTGTTTTAATTTTGAAATGCTATTCAGCGTAAGTAAAGAAAGGAGCATGGTTGTGCACAAGATGCCTTCGCAGAGGACACAACAAGGCTTCCTGCAAGATGCCAATTAGGGAGCATGCGTTGGGGCTCTAGTTGGAGTATTGGAGGTTGCAAGGAGGACTATTTTTTTTTATTTTCTTGCTTTACGGAAAGAGTAATAAAGTTTCAAGTAATGTACTTAAATTTGAGTTTGAAGTTTTTTAAAGTTTTTTTTTTATAAACGCATTGGACGCGTGAGTTTGAATAATTTGTGTTTCCATTTGGTTTTGTAGACATCTGTTTTACGAGAGGGATGAGATCGATGTTTTTATGGTTTTGAACTGATAGTTATTTTCTCGATATTTTGTTTACGACAGTGATGTCATTATGCTACACTATGTGAAGGATAGATATATGCTACATTATGCTTTTCCAAAGAAATTGTATAGTTAAGTATGTAATTTGGCAAGGTAAACTATAGTGGCGATGCCTTGCGAACAAATATAGTGTAGTCAATAAAAATTTAAAATATAGTTAGCTATTTAGAAGGAAGTTGATAAATGTAGCTAACTAAACAATATAAATATTACTAACGTAGTGTTTATCGCATTTGATGAAAGTTACGTTACCTTTGCGTTACATTTCCCACAACTGTGAAGCTCTAGTAACATAGGTAATCCTTAAATGAATTTGACAGGGTAAACTAAATACGTAGAAGTTAATACTTAAAATCTGTAAAATGTCAAAGCACTTAATCCTTTGAGACTTTGAAACTGGCTTGAGAATCGTAAAACATATGGTTACAACCCATTATCCTGAATAGCAAAAGTTTCAAGCCAGCAGTACCTAAACAACCTAACACATGCGTAATGGTAGAAGAAAATTAAATTTCTCGAAAATCTTAACGCCATAGTTCTTCCTAGTATCTATGATACTTGCTTCGTCGAGGTTAGCTGAAAAAAGTAAGTGTATGAGATGCATGTAGCTCAAGTAGCAAAATAGTTGTGATGTCATGCGACCCTACATTTAGGTAATTAGTAAGTCAGCTTAATGACAAGATAGTTAACTAAGTTGAATTATAATATAGTTAGCTATTTATAAGAAATTCGAGAGAAATGAGTTAACTAAAGAAGCTAAATATTACTATCGTAGTGTTAATCGCATCTGATTTCCCATTCGAGAAAAATGAGTTAACTAAAGAAGCTAAATATTACCTTTGCGTTTGATTTCCCATTCGTCCGCATAGTTGGTGATAGTGAACGGCTCAGATATGTCTGCTTCCATTTCAGTATTGGTAGGACAGTGCGTTATGAGAAATGGTAACAACGAAGCAAGAAGTAGTAGCTCCTTCTCAACTTCTTTGAGGGCGTATTCTATAGGGTCTGGTAGTAGTATGGTAATTTCATGGGAAGGTTAGTCGATGCAAAGGCCAACCTAATTACCATGTATGATATATGGGCAGTAGAGGAGCTCAACATCCGTGAACCATTGGCGGTCCCTGGAAACATATTTGGAAACCTTTTTGGGTATCTTGTAGCTTTTAGTGTTACACTTTGGGTTCATTTTTGAGACATCCACTCCAAACGCAATATCCATGAACTGAATAGGCTTAGCCGTTCCCTACTTCAAACTCCTCCAAAAAGCGTTCCCGAACAAAAGATAGTAGATTATCCATTAACTGTCATCAAAATGGTGAAGCCAAAAATTCCTTAGTTTCAACAATTGAAAATGTGAAGCATAATTGAAGAGGGAAGAAAGGTGGCGTACAATGTCTGATAAACGCTTTTCTTGATTCCATAACTCCATAAAACAAAGCTTCGAGGCTGATACTGATTTCCCAACTTTGACGTTCCTGTTAAAATTTTATAAATAGTTGTAGTCAACTATGCGACTGTAAAATAGTCAACTATTCCAATGTATGTAGTTAACTATTGAAACTGACCTTGTTTTCTCTAAAGCCAAGAGAAGCATCTCAAACACCGAGATATCTACTTTAGGGAGAGGGGTCTAACGAGTAAGCGGAATTAAACTTCTCTTCGATTGTTTAGCGGCTGGAATTGTTGTGGATGGCTGGACTTGTGGTACTTTCTTTTTTGATCTTTGTTTCGTAGTTAAGTTTCTTTTGAGCACATCGCCTGGCTTAGTAGTTGCTTCTTTTGCTGCATTTTTCGCAAGAGAAACTCCTTCCTGCGTAAGTCCCAAGCCGAATGTGGGCGGTGTGAATGAAACTCTAAACTTTTCCTACAATGAAAGAAATGATACGTAGGGTTATATCTGATGTCGCTGTGCGTAAATAGATAACGTAAATGAGAAGAATATGAATATTTAACATAATATGTTGTCATAGAGATAATCTTACTTTTGGTTGTGCACCACCTTTCTTAGTGACATGGGCATCACTAGGTGCTCCTTCCTTGCCAAGTACTTCCGTTACTACACCCATTATATTCTTTGTAACAAGTTCCTGGAAACAATATGAACATGTATATTAACAGACAGCTGCAATATTTTTATACGTAACCGGAATAAACAGCAATTTAACCACATATATGTGTATATATGGTAAGCGTTGTGGATTAACTTCTGATGTTGATTTATGTGGTTCGACAGATGGTGCAACATCTCTCTCGGTCACAGGGGATTAGTAGCCGTCTTCTGAAAATCAGCATCAAGAGTATCCTTTGCCATATGTGCCTATGTTAAAGCCGCAGGTAGGTAGGAAATAGTGAACTATATTAACTAAGCTACTGTGCATATAGTTAGTTATATTAGTTGACTATATGTGTATATGTAGTAATGGTTGTGGATATACTTACTTCTGAACGTGAAATAGCAGGTTGGATAGATGATGGAAGACATTTCTCGGACTCATGGAGATCGTCAGTCGGCTTCTCTAGAGAAGCGCAAGTTGTACCCTTGGCACAATGTGCCTAAAAAAAAACCAAGGATACTATAAGAGAAAAAGTAATGGCTAAACACTTAGAAAATAGTTAACTAAAGTGAGTAAGGGTGGGATTACCATTGTTGTTGACTGATTTGAAGACTTTTTAGTCGGTGCTAAAATGTCTTTATCAACAGAGCCAACTACGGTCTCAGCATTAACTACAATTTGTTGAGACTTAAATACAACAATTTCCTCGGATAGGACATTGAGCTTGGCAGACATATCTCTTAAGTCATTCTTAATAGCCACATCTTGATTTTGCAGTAAACAAGTGAATTTGGCTTCAAACTCTTTGAGATTCTCCATCAACTTGTTGTAGTATACAACTGCAATACGGTAAATCATTGTAACGAATTTCAATATATGTAGTTAAAATCTAAAAAAACACAAGAGAAGATACATGCTGAGTTGTCAATAGGATCTTGCATGTCGGCCAAAGAAAGAGAAGTGATATTCTTTGATGTTTACCCCTTGTCATTCTCTAAGTTTTTTCCCTTTGCTTTTTTCTTTCTACCAGGGCTCACATCTACTGCATCACACTTGTTTTTGCCCTTCTTTGCATTGGCATTATCCTTATTCTCGACAAGCAAAGATGTTGCATCAATCTCGCCTGACCAAGAAGCTTTTGTGAATATGTGATTTTTGTCGAGAAGATCAATCATATGCAAAACTTTGCCATCCTCCTTCTTGTTAGGGCATGTAAAATCTTCTCCTTCGAGATCTTCCAAAGGTAAAGTATATGCGACATTAACCTGAAACAAAAATACAGTCGAGTGAATTATTAGTTAACTATTTTTGACACATAGTCAACTATTACAAGACCGCAATTAACTACTAGAATTTTTGATATTTATCTAGTTAACTATTTAAATACCATAATCGGGAAAGAATAGAAAAATTTTACCGGCTTGTCTTCATCTAGCTCTTAAGCCAATCTTATGACGATGCTTAGTGGTTTCTCTGTTTCTTCATCATCTGATTCATCTTCATAGTCGATCAATTCCGCTTGTTTAGTATTTTTCTCAGTTGCTGCATAAGAGGTTATCCAGGTATACAAGTCAATGCAACAAGCTGCCAACCATAAATGAAACCTCGAATTGCCATTGATTTCTGACACATATCAGACTTCTTTGGCTTCTATACTCTTCATTGTGAATCCGAAACATTCTCTACTCCATGGGTGCTGTAGAAACACATCTAAGTCCTGAATCATCCTAACATGGGAGTGATATACCCTATATTTTACCACTTTTACTATCAATTTTACTATGATTTTTACATATATTAATAAAGCTTTTCGACCAAAAGAGGTAGTTTTCTCGTATTTGTAGATTTTAAGGTCTTAACAGGTTTTATCATCAAAAAGATGTAAAATGGAGCAAAAAGAGTGTTATCTATGACTCATTCAAGTCAAAGGAACCAAGCCAAGTCATTTTATCTTGAAGATAATGCATATTCTCAAACTNGANNGAACGTATACGCCAGAANTTNNCTNATGAACNGAGGATCAAATCAATTGGGAATTTAATGAAACTTGGTATGGAAATAGCCCTTTGAGTTAGATTTCCAATGGAGTTGGAATTTCATCAATTGGAGCTGTACTTTACAAGATACACTGGAAACACTGAGGACATGTCAAACTGCCTTCGAAATGAAGTGAGTGCACAAGGAAGCCAAGCGCCGGGCCGTCCATGGGCCGATGATCCAGAACTTTCTCGACCTTCTAGAAGCACCAAGGAAGCGTCTAATACCGGTCATGAAGCCCGACCGTTATTGTGACCGGTATTGCCTCAGTTTCGACTAAAAAGACGTTTTTGCCCGAAGAAGCCCTAGCCGACTTAAGCCTCCTTACTTGCTTTTAGCCTCTCTAGGAACTTAAGCAGCTGACCATAACAGCCTAAATCAATACCTAAACATGTATTTCGTTTTTCTCTTGTTCTTAATGAATATTTGATTCTAAAAGCCTTTAAGGATAGATTGACTTTGCCCTATTGCNAAGAGATGAGATCTAACTCNTTACGCTTTGTAGATCAACGATTTATCTTTATGTTTATGTGTTTTACTCTTGCATCTTTGCTTTGATTTGATTTCTATGCATCTTCTTAATTCTATGTCTTTACATACTTAATCGTTTAGAGTTTCATTCTAGAATT